GCAGACATAGAAAAAGAAGCATAGGTACAAAAGGCAGCTGTAAAAGGCGATCATTCGATGAGAAAACATGAACCAGAAGACCTGTGAATCTTTACCAAAGGCACAAACTATAAAAGTCAATCAAGTTCTTTCTTTGTCTTTAGTTTGGGTACATTTATTGGCTGTTCCCTGAAAATCCTTAAAATCTTGAATAAGCACAAGCAAAATAAAAACCCCCTTAACAAAAAATTACCTTATCAGTGTGACTTTAAATACACACACAAGTAAACATAAGCTGGATTTAAGGAGTGACAGCCCTGAAACTAGAAGGTGTGTCTGGATCCAAACCTGTAGGATCATCTGTTATGATGACGATGATAAATTGTTCATTGGTTTGTTTTTACAGAAAATGTCTCGATGAAAACTAGCCATCTTAACGGTGTAGTGGAGGATTTTTGAAAAGACCCGCCCTCTCCACTTAAAAAAAAAATGCACATGCGCAACCCTGCACTGGAAAAAATCCAAATCTCGATAAGTCATTTTTTCCTAAAATACCTGCATTTGTTCTTGGATTGAGGAAGTAAAAGATACTTTGCCAAAGGAACAAGACAATTTACACTTAAATTAAGCGCATATTATCTAATAATCCTATTTTAAGAGTAAAAATACGCATTCCATTTGCAAACTATCTCATTTACCTACTCAAATTAAGGGTAAATACACTTAATTTAAGAGATTTTTACTTATTTCTACATCATTTTTCCAGTGTGTACCCGCTCCTGAGAGGGAACACCTATCAAACGCGTGCGAGAGCGTGCACGAGCCCATTTCTCCTCATGCACGCTCGTTTTTATAATTGCAGATTGCATCGCTCATACTAGCTTTCTTTCCAAAGGAAGATTTGCTAATTTTCCATTATGTCAGGCTCGCCAGCGGTCAGTGAAAATGGGGACGAGCACGTAGGACGGCTTTACGTAAACATCTCAAGAACATCCTCCCCTATAGCTTTAAAGGAACTATTTCTGCTGGGTAGAGATGAAATATCCAACCAGAACGCCCCAGAATCTTATTCATGATCATTAAACCCGTTTGGTTGAGCTGCTACCTGCTGAAGGATATTTAAAAATAACGTTAGTGCATAAAAGAAAGTCGCAATAAATAAAACAGTTACTTGATTTGAGATATAAAAAAATCTGTAAAGTTGATTTTTTTTTTTTATTCCAACCTGAAAAACAAAGAACCCAAAAACGATCTCCCATTTAAAGCCAAATATTCACAATATTCATGATAACAATGGTTGAATATAAACTTCTGACCATATCAGAGCAAAGCAGCAGCTAAAAACCAAACCTTTTAACCCTTTATAGGGCGCTAAGTGAAATACTTTGGAAATCCACATTTCCAGCCAATAGAGTTATTGGAATCCAGGATAAGACCTTATTTATATATAATCAGAGATGGCAAAAGTACTCACTTTCCGTACTTGAGTAAAAGTACAGATACTTGTGTTAAAAAATACTCTGGTAAAAGTGGAAGTACTGATTAAACTTCTTTACTCAAGTAAAAGTAACAAAGTACAGGCTTGTAAATTTACTTAAAGTATAAAAGTAAAAGCAGAAACCACTTTTTTCATGCCGTTGCCTACATTTTAAATGGATGTCTGCCAATAGGACTAGATCTCCGTTGTGTTCATTTTCAATCATCTCGTCGTCCATGCTACTATGCTAACGCCACCGCCACCAAGCTGCAATGATTTGCCGCCAATGAATACCGCCGAATCTGTCGATTCATCTTGTAGTGGTGCGTCAAATGCAACGTAGATTCCCATCCAATTAGATTGAATTTGGTATTGATGACGTGAAAAATAATAACGGTAACTCCATTGAAATGAATCAAAACTAAAGTAACGAGCCAATTTTTTAAAAATGTAAGGAGCACTGGTTTATAAAGGCCTCTGGATTATATAAGGAGTAGAAGTAAAAAGTCGCCATAAAAATAAGTAGTAAAGTAAAGTAAAAATATCAGAAAAATCTACTTGAGTACAGTAACGAAGTATTCGTACTTCGTTACTTCCCATCTCTGTATATAATATAGATATTCTGATGGCAAAATTTTATGTCAATGTAATAACAAGAAACCTCAACTTTACTAAATATATTAAGAAAATATTAAGAAAAATATATACGTATTGCCTGAAATTCATGAAAAACACTCTGAGAGTGAAAGAAAACACTTTTTGTGTCCAACATAACCTTAGAGGCATTAATGCTGATACTGGCACTGACATTTTTGACTTTATAAACCTAAATATAATTGTTAACTAGGCTTATTATTATTCAATTAGCTTTTTAGCTTTTTTTCCTTGACTTGTTAACTCTTTCCAACTTAATTTCCAGTAGCTAATATATCATTCAACGACTCATCTAATTGGTCAAAAGCCAAAATAAGATGTACAGCCATGTAGCAGGACCTTTGCTGAATGGCTGGATATAGATCTAGTGCTTCTAGACCTCACTGAGGGTTCGGGGGGGGGCTTCATTTGTAAGGGGTTTGCAAGTGATCAAAAACGTTAACTTGCCCTATAAAGGGTTAAAAGTTTAGGCTATCGGATGACGCAGTCTGTGCCTTTTTCCAGGATATCATCCCATTTGGCAACAATCCTGCGTTCCGCTGGCTTTTCGGATGGATGGTTCCTCCTAAGATCTCGCTGCTGAAACTGACCCAGGGAGAAACCATCAGACGTCTGTATGAGCAGCACCACGTGGTCCAGGACATGCTGGTTCCCATGAAGCATCTGCAGGCTGCCATCACACGCTTTCACCAGCAAATCAATGTCAGACTCCCATATTGATTAAAGCGTCACATTGCACTCTGTTTATGATGGATGCATCTCGCTTGAATAACTCCTCCTATTTTCATTTTTTGCAGGTTTACCCTCTGTGGCTGTGCCCGTTCCTGTTACCGGCCGGCAGGGGAATGGTTCACCCTAAGGGCCAACAGGAGGAGCTGTACGTGGACATCGGAGCCTACGGGGAGCCAAAGGTCAAACACTTTGAGGCCAGAGCATCAACGCGTCAGCTGGAGAAGTTCGTCAGAGACGTACACGGGTAAGACTCCCATCAGAAACTAAAGTGAAGTAAATCATCCATCCAGCATTTAATCTGCAACGTGCTGAAATGCTCCTCTGCAGGTTCCAGATGCTGTATGCAGATGTGTACATGGATCGGGAGGAGTTTTGGGAGATGTTTGATGGACAGCTGTACCACAAACTACGAGCTGAGTTGGGCTGTAAGGAAGCTTTTCCTGAGGTTTATGATAAAATCTGTAAATCTGCCCGTCACTAAAGTCCTCTCAGCGCCGCCATCTAACGTCCTTTATCCCAGTTAGACCACGGCGCCGGGCGCCACTAAACCAGCATGGAGTAAATGGGCGTTTCTAGCAAAGAAAAACTCTCATGCATGAGGATGTGGCTGCGCTCTTCTTTGCTGAACTAGTCTTGTTTACACTGAGCCTCCTGCTCAACATCGCCACTGTGTTTGATGAGCATCTTAACATTCCTGTATATTATAAGCATTCCTAGAATGTACTGTTGAAATACTTTTGCAATCAGTTAAAACGAAAAGTAAAAGACAACTGCTATTTTCATGTCCAAATAAAACTAATTAAGAATATATATTTTTTAATAAAGTTAATTCTCATCCTCTGATGACGTGTTCTTCTTTATTGCATTGTTGGATGGGTTGCAGCCTGTATCCCGCGGCTCTTTGGAGAGAGGTAGCGTACGGCCTGGACAGCTTTCCAGCCCATCATGCTGGTTTTTGGGCTGTGGGAGGAAGCTGCTG